CTGGAGCGCAGGAGGACGGTGGGAGGAGGAGCGGGAGCAGCCTCGCCCCCATTCGTCATGTCGTCGCCGCTGCTCTTCACCCCGACGCGCGGGGTCGCCGTGACGCTGAGCCCGGCGTCGGCGGAGGCCTCGGGGAACCGGCTCCACGAGCAGGCCCGCGAGGCCCGGGAGAGGCTGGAGCGCCGCAGGAAGGAGGTGCCGGTGGTGACGCCGCTGGCCCCAATGCCGGGGTTCACGTCCTTCTCGCCTCGCCGGTGGTCGGCCCCGCGGGGGCCGGCTGGCGGTGCCGGCGCCGCCCCGGTCGTCTCCGGGCTGGACCGGCTCGAAGGCCTGTACCGCGACGCAATCGAGCGCAACTCGAGGCTCGAGCTGGCCCGGCGCGCGGAGGAAGAGAAGCCCCGGGAGTGCACGTTCACGCCCGAGATCAGCAAGAGGGGGCGCAGCCTGGTTAGGGGGTACAGCGGCGACGGTGGCGGCGGTGGCGGCGGCGCGGCCGGCGGCGGCGAGGCGGGCGAAGGCGGAGACGGGGAGAAAGGCAGCTGCGGCGGCGGTGGCGGAGGCGGGAGCTTGTTCGACACGTTCGACGCGTTGTACCAGGACGCGAAGCGCAGGCAGGCGAAGATGGAAGCGCTGAAAGCTCATGAGGAGGTAGGCACGCGGACCTCGCCGGTGATCACCGCCATGGGCCGGCAGGCCACGGGCGTGCCGGTCGACGTGCGGATGAAGGAGGACGCGGAGCGCTGGGTGCGCAGGTTTCAGGAGCTGGAGGAGAAGAAGGCCGAGAAGGAGAAAGAAGGGTGCACGTTCATGCCCAACTTTTCCATCGGGCGCAGCTCCTCCGCCCCGCGCATGCGGCCGCGACGCAGCAACAGCGGTGGCGGTGGCGGCCGCGGCGGCGGCGGAATCGAGGCGTTCGTCGCGAGGTCGGCCATCTTCCTAGAGACGAGAGAGCGGAACATGGAGAAGCTCAAGCAGGAGGCCGAGGAGAGGGAGCGGGCCCTTGCGACCTTCAAGCCCAGCATCCTCCCCTGGGGGGGCGGGTCGGCGGCGGACGACGCCTCCTCCGCCGCCGACGTGTTCGAGCGTCTCCTTCGTGCCGCTGAGAACCAGGAGATGAACAAGGCGGCTCTGAAGGAGGAGTTCCTGAAGAAGGAGCGCGAGCAGAATAACGACTTCGAGGTAGGTGTCTCGGCCGCTTTGCTGTCTTGTGCGCTTCCCTGGGTCGATTCATCCAGAGTACTCCAAGCGTATAGCGCGCTGTAGTGTGGGGTGTGTGAGGTGGGGGATGTGGGAACAATGCTCCGCCCTCTCGAGGAGTTGGAGGAGGGGGGGGCGTACTCTCATGTTTTTGCATGCCTTAGGGGTTGGACCATTGACCACGCGTCCTCGAGAGGACAGAGCATTGTTCCCACAGGACCGATCACCGATGGCTAATCGTTTCTTCCTGGTTGGGGGTTTTGATTCGTGGTTGCTCCTTAAAGTTCTGTTAATACACCCCGTTCCTGTGCTTCAGTTCGGTGAAGATCGGCACCGCGATTTGTCGCTGCGGCGTTGTTTTTCCTCAGCAAACAGAACCAGCGCTCGTTTTTGCGCCAGTTGAGCTTGTCGGACAGGCCACCAAACCACTAGCCACCCTCTTCCAAACTTTGAAGTGGTTAAGTGCATTCACCAAGCAAAAATAAGAAACTACTCATCGTTCCTAGAGGCCTCTGGATGCTTGCACGCCATCGCCTCCAATCTTCGTTGCAAATCTGGGTGCTGCATCAGTCTGAGCTAAACCGGTCGACTTTCCTCAACGGCCCTACTACCACCACCCGCTTTCGCCGCCCCTCCGGCAGCCGCGCCTTCCCACGCGACAGAAAGACGCACCTTTGGAGCCCCTGGACGCTCGCATCAGGAAGAGCACGGAGGAGTGGGTGAAGAACAAGGCGCTGCGAGAGCAGCGGCGGCTCGAGCTTGAAGCCGAGCATTGCACCTTCCGACCGTCTCTAGGCGGCGGCGGCATCGGCGCCTCCGGTACCGGCGACGGCAGCGGCGACGGCGGCGGCGGCGGCGGCGGCGGGGGCGGGGGCGGTGGGAGACGCAGTTCGTCGGTAGGCCCCAGGCCTCGCGCTCGGTCCTCGACGCGGCAGCGAGCGTCCCGCAGGGCTTCCGGTGGCGTGGGGCCGGCCGCGGCGACCGCGTTTGCCGCCCGCGAGGCGGCCTTCCAGGACGCGAAGAAGCAGCGGTTGGAGGCTCTGCGGAAGGAGAAGGAACAGCTCGAGGTCCAAGAGGCCACGTTTCAGCCGGTCATCGGCGCCGAGGCCCGTCGGGCTAGCGGCCGCGGCGGCAGCTCGGTGGGCGGAAGCTCGAGAGGCACCGATGCGGTGGCGGGAAGCGTCACCGGCGCGTCGGAGACGAAGATTACCACCCCGGTTACCGTCGAGAGGCCGAGCTCTGTCGAGCTCAAGGTGTGTCTGCCCCTACAGCTGCTGCTGCTGCTGCTGCTGCTGCTGCTGCCGCGTTCGTTCACTCGGCCCACACCAGTAGTAGTACCAGCAGAGTTGTCTTTTTTGTCGACGGCAGGTTTTGAACGTTTTGTAGTGCGATGGCGTCGACTATAGTGTGGAGAGAAATGGTGGTGCCGCATGTGTGTTCGGTGTCAACTGGTGAGGAGTTCGGTGCGTTGTCACGCCCCTTGGAAACAAGACCACCTACCTGTCAGCAAAAGTGTGCTGGTAGCTCGATGTGCCAGCAGTCGACAATCTCGCGTTACCGGCCGCCACGGCCTTCCTTCTTGTTCCCCCTGTTCTAGAATGGTAGATAGGATGGAAAACAACTTTTTGAGCCACCTTTGGCAACGCAATGGTAGGAAGGAACAGTTGGCCTTCGGTAATTGGTACTGTGCGAACAATGGTTTGTCCTGTCGAGTATACGTGGTCAATGGTCTAACGACTGCGGCATGAGTTTACACGAGTACACCCCCGTCCCCGTCCCCGTCCTACCGCCGATCCGATGATCGCAGTCGCAAGGCTCGGCGCCGGCGAGGTCGCGAGAGAGCAGCGACATTGCTGCAGCTGACGGGCAGCAGCAGCGGCAACAGCAGCAGCAGCAGATGGCGCAGGGCGTAACGGCGGCCGTGGCATCGCCGCCGCGGCAGGAGGGGGCGAAAGATGATGGAGTGGACATGATAGCCACGGCGGCGGCGGTAGCGGAAGCATCGGCAGGACGAGGAGGTGGCGCTGTCGACGACCACCCGGGCAAATCGGGGGTGGACCAAGGTGGGGGGTCTGTTCCTACTTGCTTTCGCATACGTTCCCTGTGGTTTGTACTGTACCATGCGAATTTTTAGCATCGGGAGTAGATGTGGTGTCCGTTTAGTTCGCGGTGTCTCGTGCCCCAGCCACTGCCTTCCCTGGTGGTACGGGCCCTTTCTTCCTGCATGCCGTTCCCCCTGTTGCCGACAGGCGGCGCGAAGTAAACAATTGGCGCTCGTCCATTTTGTATGCCGACGTTTCCCCCCCTCACCCCCACTTAGGCGGGAAGTGATATCGTTAGGATAGACAGATTAGTGAAGACATTTTTGAGCCACCTTTTGCAAAGTAGAAAGGAACGATTGGCCATCGGTGATCGGTCCTGTGGGAACACTGCTCCGTCCTCTCGAGGACGCGTGGTCAATGGTCTAACCGCTAAAGGCATGCAAAACATAAAGAGTACGCCCCCTCCCCCCCCACTTCGCGGCGTGCCTCTCTCTGTCTGTCTCTCTCTTTCCCCCTCTCTGTCTTTCCGTTCCAGCAGGCGTTGATGTAGGCGAGCTGTCCTCCCGTCTGCAGCAACTCGCGACAGCCTCATCTTTCAACGGCGACGACGACGAAGCTGACGCCGGCAACGACAGCGACGCGCCGCAGGCTGCCGCTGACGCCTCCGCCGTTTCCAACGTTGCGCTGCAGCTCGAGGAGGAGGAGGAGGAGGAGGAGGAGGCCAACGAAGCGGGAGTCACGGAGACGGGAGGGGAACCTGCCGAAGCGGACGCGGAACCCGAACCAGAACCCGACGAGCTCGACCTGGGAACGGAAGAGGAGGAGCCCTGCGGAGCGCCCACGCAAGCGGTGCCCAAGGCCGAAGGCGACATCGTCGTCGTGATGCCGGTCAACTCCGAGGGAACAGGCGAGGAAGCAGCTGAGGAGAAGAAGGGCAACGTCGAACCCGCTGGTGAGAGATGCGGGAGCAACACTGGTTGTTTTTAAGTAGGCTTGTGGCACTGGTGTGTGTAGGTGCAGCGCGAGTAGCTGCTTCGTGTTGTCCGTATTGCTGCTGAGGTGTTGCCCGTTTGTGCCGTTTTTGTTGGTGTGGTATGTCGCCAGGGGGCGCCGCAGACTTTGGACGCAAGATAGGCGGCGCGCTTCAGCTATGGGGGAATTTTACCTTCGCGTAGTTAATTCTGCGACGGGTAACCCCCCCCCCCCCCCCCCC